GTTCTCCGAAGTGATTCTGTTGCATTCGTAGTTCTGCTTCACGTTTGGCCACTATCACTTTCGTGACGTATTGGGTTACTTTTCTGTCGCTCACCTAAAAACATTGTTAAGAAAGATGACAAAAAGAAACAAAGCCTTTATCTCAAGAAATCTTTTTGATTCCTTCAATATTACTAGAAGTAGCGCTTCACCTTCAGTTCTTCCAGTTTCATTCCTATCAATTCTTCCACGGCTTGAATCAGAACGACATCATACTGCGTAACAAAAGTTAGAGCAGCACCATATCTGGAAGACTTGTGCTTACCTATACCTATATGATATAGTCAGTACTTGTTTCTGATAAGGGTGCGTGGCCAACACGGAATTTTGGTATGCTTCCCACAATTTTCGCGAGCCCATAACCCCCGATCTCAGAAATAGACGGCATTACGCCAGCCAAGCCAAAAATTTTATGAGACTAAATTGGAATTAAGAAAACTCAAAAACTATTCCACTTTATGCAAAAGTGTGAACGATTACTTGCACACTTTTATAAATTTTGTAAATAACTTCAAAATTTCGCGACTTATTCTCGGGGAGGGGAGGGGGATTGGCTATAGCGCTGATACAAAACCTACCTTCCTGCTCGAGCCGACCTTCCCACTCGATGAACATAAGTTTTTGGACTCTTCGGTACATTGTGATTAACAACGAGATCCACCTTGATAGATAATTTCAAGGAAAGAATGATGAAGAGGAAGACAAAGAAATAACCAACTCACATGAGGTATGTCAAGACCACGAGATGCAACATCCGTACAGATCAGAACTCGCAGCGTTTTGGAGCGGAACGAATTCAAAGCCGCTGTGCGTAGTCTCTGCTCGATTTGTGAATGAAGAGATCCGACCTAGAAAGAACGTGGAGAGTTGATATCGAATGTGGACATGAATAACTCAGAAATGTGTAAAGAAACACTATTGTAAAACTCAAATACCTTGAAGCCTAAACCCTCAAACATGTAAGCTAAAGCTTGGCATTCCCTACATGTCTGCGAGAAGACGATCACTGAACTGTTCTCATTGCGTTCGCAGTAATTTTTGACAACATAAACCTGCAAGCACAATTATCCTATTGGGTTTTTTCCATCTTCTCAATTCCCAACACTTACCAGATAAGCATCTTTGACTGCGACAGGACACAAGACGTATTTTTGCTCTAACCGTTCTACAGTAGCAATCTCCTGCTTATCCTCGAAGAAATATGGCTTTTTTACCGAGACCTAAAGCAGATACAAGAAAATGGAGGGTAAACTGATACCAAAGTTACGACATGCATACGTAAAAAGGGAAGGAAGACCATTCTTGAGAAACTATTAGAAGCTGTGAACAGGTAAACGGATGCGGGCAGTATGAATATGGATACCGAATTGATATATTGGGCCAAAAATTGATAAAGTCAGTAATATGACTGCCGCGCTGAGTTTTTTCAATTAAAATATGTTCATTTACAAGAGCAAATCATTTGCATAATTTTATAATCCACGCAGGCTGACACTTTTTCGGGGCGAAAAGGAGGAGGAAAACAGAGATAAACATACCTGGTGAAGCTTGGTTATGGCACTTGTGATAGTCGCTGAGAAGAGTAGCGTTCGACGCTTTTTGGGAATGGCGAGGAAGATAGTTTTCAGCTAAATTCATATCTTATCTTCAAAATCCCCAAACAAACCAAAACATACCTGCTCGCTATATTGGCCATCGAGCATATGGTCTGCTTCGTCTAAGACAAAGAACTGGATTTTCCTAAATCTAGTATGTTGCTGAAAATGCGGTATGGGAGTCTCGTACGAAAAGGATTCTAACTTGAATAACTGTCCTAATCCATCCGGATTACTTTCGATGTGATCGGCAAGCCTACCGGGAGTAGCCACTACCACATGAGGACGGGCTGTGAGTTCATTAGCTTGGTCGATCTGAACAAAAATCTTTATTTTGCAGAAGCATACCTTTTTAACAAACATACCAAGCTTCGGCCACCCGTAATCAAAGAGACTTTGAGAGCAATCGGTTTTCCAAGCGCAACGAACTGATCGTAAATTTGAGAAGCTAGCTCTCGGGTAGGTGTCAGAACGAGTGCGAAGATCCCATAGGGGTCCACAGCCAACTTAAAAGCGAGGAAATGATGAACATCCTATAGAAAACATTACAACAAAGATTTACGGACTTCATTAAGGATTGGAAGAACGAAAGCAAGAGTTTTGCCTGTTCCTGTCTTTGCGCAGCCTAGCACATCTTGTCCTTTCAACACTTGAGGGATGCAGTTAGCCTATACATGGACAAATCAAAGATAAACAACTGAAACAACCGTTTACCTGAACAGGCGTAGGCTTCATTATACGCATCGTATTGAGTTGTTGTATCAGCCAAGAACTCAGACCCAATTCCAAGAAGGACTTGGCCAAAGATAATGGTTCATCAGCCTTCAATACTGCTCGTTGACACTTTCGAAAATCAATGAAAAATAAGCAACAAGCTTACTGTGGAAGCAGTCTGCCGTAGTGCATTTAGTTCCTCTCCTTCCACTTCCTCACTTGAGCTACCTTCCGACTCGTCTTCGCCGTCGCTATCGTTATTCTGAATAACTTATCACTTGCACTATGCCAAGAACAAGAAAAATATCCACCTTCTGGAATCTAATGCCAATTACTGACATCTATTTTTGATAAGGAGATGAAAGGACTTTGAAGGCAGTCGTTCGGCGAAATGGCCGATCTTGGATTTTGGCAGTTTTAAGTCTCGGGCGTAGTTCACGCGATTTCATCGCCTCGCGATCCTTCCACCAGCAACTACTGCAAGTTCATTGCATGCCGATCACCTCCACTTCGGTTGCACTAGTCACCATTAACTGTGTTGGAAAACTATTAAAACCGAGCACAATGAGCATGCAATGAACTCGTAACATTGTCTTGTCAGGAGAATCGCGAGACGATTGAATCGTGATCACTATGACCTAAGCCTTAGGTAGCAGCCTCAAGTGTACCGCAGCCTCAACTTCCAATGAATAGCGATAAGTCCTAAAAGGCGCTTCACTACCAATGACCTCAGGCAATGGGAGCAGGAGTGGCTGGTGGGCTTTTTTGAGCGCTTTTTCAAAACTTAGCGTAACAGGGAGGTAGACCTGGGGCTACGGTGTGTTTGGATGAGGCGTACATTAACACCAGGACCACATAGGGGTCTATTTGCCAACCCATGCCTTCATAAACAATTGAATTCTTACAGAACAGTTACAGCCGAAAAAAATGAAGAACGAAGAGAGACACCTGTGCTACGAACAACCACGCACCAAAAGAATATGCCCTAACTGCTACAAATGTGTCTGGATATATGGTTTTAGCTGTATAGCATAAGTAGAATGATAAATGAACAAGCATTATAACAAAGAATCGTGAACAACTCACCTCAGAACCCATGGAAGCCTTACTGTCATCATTGTTTGCATCCTCTTCGTCCGATGACAAAAGCGTATCACAAACGGAAGTCATCTGTGAATGCAAATCTTGGCATTTACTAATACAGCAGATCAAGGAACTTTCGATTCAACGAGTGGTCACAAAACAAAAGTAAAAGCAAACATTTATTAGATTTCAGCAGAAATTCGGACAAAACAAAAAAGCGAAAACAAAACAATATTCATACATCGGGAAAGCACATACTTTCTTTTAAGCGCGAGGAGATCAGGATGGTGCTTGTTTCCGCTGTTGCTGTTGTTGCAAAGCTAGTAGTTGCTTTTCTTTGATTTCCTGGGTCTCCTTCTCGGTGAGAAATCGAATATTATGCTTTTCTTTGTGGGCATTCAGTTCGTTGCCTTTCTCGACTAGTCTCTTATTCAATTCAGTTGATACAACACCAAGCTGAAATACAAATCTTACTAGCAGAGCACCATGATTGTGTGAATAGGAATATTCTCTGTGGTAGGAGAGACATATACAGACCAACAGTCTCACAGAAAATTTTAGAGAG